CACACACACACACACACACCCACGCTTTATAAAATTGAGGAAATTGGATCTACTGTTCAAAGCCAATTATTCTAATGTTTTGCTTAGAAAGTTTTAACTTCTTGTTTTCCTATAATCATGCAGGATATTTCAGCTTCTGCTCTAGATTGGGACATGGCTGAATTTAGAAAGTTAGGCAGAGGGAAGGGACCCGCTGATGGATGGGAAGATGTCGATTACAGAAAAAATATTCATAGAGGGTTTAATACATGAGTTTCCAACCGCCCACAATCATGTCGTAAACCTATTAAAATTGCAATTTAGATGTTTGCCTTAAATTTCTCTCAATTCTCTGTAGTCTGATTCATTTTCAGTGAAAACAGTTGTCTCCTTTCCCCTCCTTGCTCCCCTACTCCTTTCTTTGCATTTTATTCTTCTTTCTTCCAGTGAAATGATTTATTGTACTGTTTTGTTCTTACTGTTCTTTAACATACTGTTTTGTATTGGTCTCATTTCCTTTTCACTTTGGGATAGTAATTTGTATGTTTTCTTTGAACGCCGAAGCATTTTGTTCAACTAGAAGCTTCTAATAAGCAAAAATACCGATCCATTAATAATACTCTCACTGTAATCACAATACTGAGTTGTAGCTTCTTAGGAAGGCTGGTGTCATTGTGCTGAAGGTTAAAAATGTGCTGTGCTATAGAATTTTGCCAAAGGATGCAATGATAACAAACAATTCTAAAAGCATCCATAGCTTTTATTTTGCTAATTCTTCAAACCTCGTGCCCATTTTTATAAATCAATTCTTTTGTCCATTGGCCACATGGATTTCATTCTATGATAACATTCTCATTTTGAAATCAAGGGCAAAATACTTTGGGTAGCTTTAATTTATTGCCGCATTTCAAATGAAGGCTTGAAGGATTTAAAGTTTGGGTATTTTTTTTTAAAAAAAGGAAATCCAATTACTTTAACTAAGTTCCCATCCTGGCTGTTTTGATGATTCATTTCTGAATTACATACTCCATTTCCCTGAAAATAAGACCTCCCCGGATAATAAGTCCAATTGGGCTTTTGAGCGCATGCGCTAAAATAAGCCTTCTCCTGAAAATAAGCCCTCCCTAAAAATATTGCAACAAGGCAGCCACCATGAGGTGACTATGGTCATGACCTCCTGCACCTCAAAAATAATAAGACCTCTCCAAAAATAAGTCCAAATGCTTATTTTTTTGGGGGGGGGCAGTCAAAAGAAAATAAAACCCTATCTTATTTTCGCGGAAACACAGTACCTAAATTTCATAGCACAGCCATGATTTCGGGGGGAGGAGGGAGTTTGAAAACGTATCTTGATTTTTTTTAAGGATTCTTTAAAATATAAAATTAAACCTATCAAGAATAACTTTAAATAAACTTGTTTATTTTCTTTTCCTTGAGTTTTCAACAACTTCAGGATGGGTTTTATTCAACCTGAAAATAATAATAACAACAACAATTACTTAAGACGATGTGAATGGAACTGGGAGGGTGTGGTTGGCTATTTTGCCTGTATTTCCACAGCTGAGCTGGTCATAACTTCACAAACTGCCTGTGTTTCTAGTTGAAGATGAGCAGCTGACGACGTTGTCACCCAAAAGGAAGCAACGGAATGGAGGCATGAGGAATTCGCCCAACTCTTCTCCCAAACTGATAAGGTGAGTCCGAAGTCGCTCATATCTTTATCTCTCCTCCTCAAGACAACAATCTTGCCGACAAACACCTCCCCCCCCCAAAAAAAAATAACCCGAGGAGGGGTGGGGGAAAGAGATTCGTGGCAGGGTGTTCGAAAAAGTAAAAGATGGTTAGACGGTTTCTGAAACGCTGGAGTATTTATTCTGTCAGCTTGTCAGCAGTTAATGATAGAGCTCAGGGAAAAAAAAATCTGTCACCGAAAACAGTTTGAAAAACTGTTTGAAAAATACACAGGCTTTAAAGTCTTAGCTGTCACCCAGCCTGTCTGTGTGTAGTTCTTAAACAGCAGTGGCACTAATGATAGCGCTAACCAATCCGAGAAACCCGTGGGATGAGTTTGCCTGGGGCAGTTCTCTTTTTGTCGAAATCCCTCCGAGTGCTGTTTTCTGTACTTAAAACCGTATGTGAGATGTATCACCGCAATCAGAAATGAACCTGAATATTACCTTCCTTTTTATCCTGTCGATTGAAATCAAATTTCCTCTAATTGATTTGGAACGCTACTTTAAAAAAAAAAGAGGATGGGGAGGGAGGACGGGATAATGAATCTTGGGCGCTTCCCGAAGCAAAGTTCAAAACGAACGTCCTCATCCTGGGGCTAAAAATTGCATTAATTATGAGAGGTGTTGTTGTGGTGATGGTTAAGGTGTTGTTAAAGCGTGTCAAACACTTTGTTCCTACAAGTGTTTTTGCTAGAATGAAAGTCTTAAAGAGCGGAAATTCCACGTAAGAATTTCTAACATTCGTTGGTAAACAGATTATAGAGAACTTGGAGAGTGCTCTTTTGTTCCTCTTTTCAAACCTCTTAAGTATTATTCCTGAATTTTCGTGGAGGCAAAAATGTCTGATTATTAAACAGGGACATCTGAAATCTTCTGAATTTCCTTATACTTGGGGTTTTCATGTCTGACTTCCTTGCGGATGAGTCACCTTTCCAAATGCTGGCACTTTTACAAAGTAGGAGGCATCAAATAATCAGGGCTTGGAAGATGGAATAGGCCTAATCCAGGTTTCTCGGTGTCACGTGCCTTAAGATGTTGGGGTTTCAAAAAGAGGCAAGCCAAGAAAAAGGGAGATTAAAACCAGATGATAAATGGCGATTCAGACACACACCATTTCCTGCTTTGTTCAAGGAACTGATTTCCTGCCGAAATCTACAGTGTATTTCCTCAAATACACCTATTTTCATTTGGAATTTAGAATGGAAGGGCAGGAAAAGAGAGATTGGTCAGAGGGGTTTTCATCTTTCTCTTCTCCTTCTGTTGAACAATGATGGCTGCTTTGTGTAGTTATTCAAAACACTATCTCAGTTCCTATGTTGCTAATCCTTGCTGATACAGGACTAATTTACATCTAGGCTTATGCTTAAAAGGTAAAGGTTCCCCTTGCACATATGTGATAGTCATTCCCGACTCTAGGGGGTGTTGCTCATCTCCGTTTCAAAGCCGAAGAGCCAGCACTGTCCGAAGACGTCTCCATGGTCATGTGGCCGACATGGCTAAATGCCAAAGGTGCACAGAATGCTGTAACCTTCCCAAAGGTGGTCCCTATTTTTCTACTTGCATTTTTTACATGCTTTCAAACTGCCAGGTTGGCAGAAGCTGGGACAAGTAAAGGGAGCTCACTCCATTACGCGGCACTAGGGATTTGAACCACTGAACTGCGGACCTCCTGATCAACAAGCTCAGCGTCTTAACCACTGAGCCACCACATCCCTAGGTTTATGCTTAGAGAGGAAATAAGATGAGTTCCAGAACGTACTTATTTCATCCATTGCTGGGTAGGTCCTTGCGTCCCTTATCTTCTCTGTATCTCATCTCTATTAATTTCTGTTTGTGTGAAATTTGACAGAGAAGAGAGAGAAATCCCCCCCCCCATTCCTTCTCTTATCTGATAAATATAGGGATATAAATGTGAAATAAAAGAAGAAGGAAAAGGGAAAAAAGAGCGAGAGGACAGAGAACCCGGTATCGTTTGGAGTGATGTGCTGTGTCCCTATTTGCTATGTAAAGTATGCTTCATTTCTTTGATCTGGAGTCATAATAATTCTGGGGAGTTCTACTGTTTTCATATGCTTCAAAGCTGTGTCAAAGTTTTGCTGCTTAAGGGGTACTTCTTTATTCTACTGGCTCATGGGTACTAAGATGACAGGTCCTCAATGCTAGGTGGAGGCTTTTTCAAGTCATTGCCTTCAGCAAAACATCAAATTACCAAATACGGGCTAACACAGTTCTACACAGATGCCTTTCCTGTAGATATATTATACCATATATATTAAATACTTTAGTGTTACACGGTACATTTTATGTGCAATGGAAAGTGATGGTTGGAGGTAGCCTTAGGGGGAACTTCCCGCCCTCCCCACCCCTGCACCCCCCCTCCTCCCACAAGCCGAAACAGCTAGTGTATATCGTATCAAGTATGGTTTTTACAGGACTTTCTGCCTGAAGGCCTTTGTAAATAAGTAATGATCAACAGATTGGCTGTGGGTTTTTGAAAAGCATGCCTGTGTCAGTTTGCATGATGGGGAAAGAATTTTCAAAGTGGAGCCTCGCTTTCATTGCCTGCTGAAGAGGGACTCGGGGAGATTACTCATCTCAGTCTTCAGCTGTCTGTTCAGTAGCCCATCAGAATTGCTAAACATCGGTTGGACAATGAGTGAGGAGCTCAGCAAACCGAGATCTGTCTTCTTTCCTGCTTCTCTGGACTCAGGTTTCTATTCCAACCCCAATTCACTCCTTCCTTTGGTTCATCGTGTTTAGGATTTAACAGATTAACAGAGTGGGAAGGGACTTTATAGGCAGGGGTGAAATTCAGCAGGTTCTGACAAGTTCTGGAGAACTGATAGGGGAAATTTTGAGTANTTGGACGTTGGTTCCTCCTCCTCAATGCTGACAGGATTTTAATTGTCTCACAAAGCACTGACTCATCTGCCCATGGAAGTGGTACCTATTTATCTACTCACATAGAACATGCTTTCAAACTACTTGGTGGGCAGAAGCTGAGGCAAGTGATAGGAGTTCACCCTGCCATGTAGCACAGAGATTTGGACCACTAGAGGGGAGACTATCTCCAGCGTCATTAAGCCACTGAGCCACTACCCCTCTTAAGTAATTTTTATCTGAAACTAATAAAGCTTTGTATACATTAGAGCAAAAATGTTCAGTTCTTTTTTTCTCACAGTCTTAACCATTCACAGGATAGGTCTTTCCTCTGAAAAAGAAGCTGTGAATTATTTACAGAGCAATTGCTTAATTCCTTTTAAGTCTGAAAATCGACTTGTATACCCTTCTGTGCTTCCAACCATGTGGAGACTTTTTACTGTGTTAGCAATATATATTGCATATCTTCCCCTCGACATAGGAGAGGAATTTAAGAATGCTGTTAAAGATTCTTTTTCACTCAACCAGCAATGCTGTATCGATATTCTTTTGGGCAGTATTTTAATGTAGAAGAAGAACGTCAAAGTGTCATAGTTGTTTCTCCAACTGATCTTCCATCTCTGCAATCCTATATTTATTTACACTGCAAATCCCACTGAATTCAAATTGGCTTCTTTTTGAACTGGAGAAGATGGGATAATATGTATTTATAAGAGACTTCAGAATTAATTCTATCATACTCTTAGTACTGAACCATTTTAGGATTATGACATTATTAGTTTAGAAGAATGAACAGATGAAGAGGTTGTGGAACAAATGAACAAATAGAACAATATGTTCAGAAAGAGAGACAGTACACTCTTTCTACTCCCTTCCAACTTCTAAGAAATGAGAGGGAGTGAAATTGCAAGAGGTGGAAGCATCTGAGGCACAGCTGTTGCAGATGACCAACTCCTATGAGGTTTCAGGTCTGGATTTTAAACTGCTAACTTTTGGCTTTTGTGTTGCCAAAACCCACAGATTTTTGTTTAATCACAGATCTGACTTTGCCATCTTGTAACCAGATCTGTTCCCTGTGACTTTGCTTTGTTTCTGAATCTTCAGCACATGAATTCATGTTGCTTACCCAGCTTTGTTTGGCTGCCCTGTGAATCTCCTTGGTTCCTAGGTGGCATATTGCTGCACCTGACAATAAGCAACAAAGTGTTATTTTCTAGGTAGTAATATATTGCTGTTGTCTCCTATGCATTCTGAGTTACACGCTGGCACATGTTATATTGGACCACTGGGGAAGTAGGAAATATTGGAGGCTTGCAATTTTGTTCTTCTGTTATTTCCCCATTTTGGCAAAAAAAAACTTTCTAGCAGATCCATGTTCAAATTCTCCAATTCTGTTAATGAGTCTTGTTTAAAACTTTCATGTAGCCTATTTAAAAGAGTCACTTTTATTGTTTCCTAACTATTTGGCAGATGTACTCCCTATCACCCCATCTGTACCTTCCCAGCTGGTCATTTCTAGTCATTCAAGAAAAAAAAAATAGTTTTGGAAATGAATATTTTATGCCAAAATCTTCAGTAATGATCCTTGTCCCATCTGTCCTGTTCATGTTCCCATATTCGCCAGATGCCTAACCCTACTGTGAGCCTGGCCACTGAACAGGGCGTAATAACTACTCAGAATGTTAATAGACATCAAGTTGTTTCTTTTTAAAAAAAATATGATGACATGGTGCAGCTTTATCTCAAGGGAAGTTCTACAAGATGGGAAATAAAATAATGAGTTAAGCAAGGACTTGCATTATAACATACATATGGCATAATTTTTTGAGTTCCAAGATTATGTCTCAGAAGTAATTCTTACTAAAAGCCCTTTAATAATCCTATTGAGTCTTATCCAAAATTGAATTTGGGGCTTCCTATTGGAGGGACAGAAGAAAGCATGAAAAAGTGTTATGTTTATTGAAAAAATAGTTTTTTTATATTTCTAAATTCAACAGAAAAAGAAAGAACAAAAAGAAACAAATAGAAAGGAAAGGGGGAAGGACATCTCATAGATACAGAGAGCCTCTTTGTGTGTGCGC